CCACTTCTGTTTTCATCTTTAAGTTGTTTTTGCCTGGATGACTTCTTTTTCTTTAGACCTCAGCCTAGAAGCCCTCTCCTTGCAGAGACCTTTCTTTTTTTTTTTTTTTTTAAAGATCTTATTTATTTATTCATGAGAGACACACAGAGAGAGGCAGTCATAGACAGAGGAAGAAGTGGGCTCCATGCTGGGAGCCTGATGCAGGACTAGATCTTGGGACTCCAGGATCACGCCCTGAGCCAAAGGCAAATGCTCAACCGCTGAGCCACCCAGGCATCCCATTAATTAATTAATTCTTGGCCAGCTCAGAGGAGAATGTGACTCTTGATTTCAGAGTCATGAGTTCCAACCCCATGTTGGGTGTAGAGATTACTTAAATAAATAAACTTTAAAAATAATTGAGAAGGGTCACTTGCATGACTCAGTGGGTTAAGCATCAGCCTTTGGCTCAGGTCATGATCCTGGGGTCCTGGGATGGATCCTTGCATCATACTCCTAGCTCAGCAGGGAGTCTGCTCCTCCCTCTCCCTCTATGCACCCCCCCTTGTGCTCCCTCTTGATCACTCTCTCATATGAATAAATAAAATCTTAAAAAAATAAAAATTAAGAATTATTAAGTACTGATAACATACTAGGTACTGCCTTGTGCACTTGCCCTCCCACTGTTAACTCATTCAACAGTATTTCAACTCCAATGAGATAGAACCTAATGCCCCAAGGGTGGGAGAGGGAAGGGAGAAAGAGAATCTCAAGAGACTCCTTACTGAGCACAGAGCCTGATGTGGGGCTTGATCTCAGGACTTTAATATTTCGACCTGAACTAAAATCAAGAGTCGGTTGCTTAACTCACTGAGCCACCTAGGCACCCCAAGACACAGAATGACTTAAAGGAAGGAGCATGGGCTTTTCAATCAGGAAGTTCAGGGTGTTAATCCAATCTCTATCTAACCAGCTATGCATAACCCTGGGCAAGTCATAAGGTTCTCTGAGCCTTTGTTCTTTCTTACCTCTGTGAAATGTGGATCATAGTAATACTTGACCTATCACGATGTTGTGAGAATTCATGCGAAGTGTTTAATACATGATTAGAACTCTATACACTAGAAGTGTTATTATGTTTGTTGTTTCATCCTTGGTGCATGGTAAAGACCTTCATAGGTTGAGTTGTTTAATAAATAGAACTGAATGAAAAAAAAGAAAAAAAAATAGAACTGAATGTGGGGGATCCCTGGGTGGCTCGGCGGTTTGGCGCCTGCCTTTGGCCCCGGGGGCGCTAATCCTGGAGTCCCGGGATCAAGTCCTGCATCGGGCTCCCGGCATGGAGCCTGCTTCTCCCTCTGCCTATGTCTCTTCTTCTCTCTCTCTCTCTCTCTCTATCATAAATAGATAAATAAATAAATAAATAAATAAATAAATAAATAAATAAATAAATAAATAAAATCTATCTTTAAAAAAATAAATAGAACTGAATGTTCCTGAAATAATTGCCAACAGCATTTTAAAATGGGGATGCCTTTTTTTTGGACTCTTTGCAAGGGTCTTTTTTATTTATTTATATCATTTTATTTTTTTTAAAGATTTTATCTATTTATTCATGAGAGAAACACAGAGAGACACAGAGAGAGGCAGAGACACAGGCGGAAGGAGAAGCAGGCTCTATGCTGGGAGCCCAATGTGGGACTTGATCCCAGGTCTCCAGGATCACGCCCCCGGCTGAAGGTGGCGCTAAACTGCTGAGCCACCTGGGCTGCTGGCAAGGGTCTATTTGAATGTTTTCTGAACAGATATTTACTGAACTTTTTGTGCTGAAATAAGTAGAGGTAGGAAGAAGGAAGCTTCCTGGAAATGGCCTGATAGTTTATCTGAGATTTAAGAGGGTCTCAGTCCTCCTATGAGGCTGAAAACTGTACTTACCAATGGTAAGGCATTCAATTAGTCTATGCTGTATGCCAGGCACAGTGCCGGACTCTGGAGGGTATCTGTGGTCACTATGCCAATGGAACTGACTCGCTGGGACAAAGACAGGGATTAGTAGTACCTTGCTACTTAATTATAAGTTTGAGGAGTCCTCCAAAGCAGAGAAATTCTGTCCCCTGACAACCAGTAACAGGGGTTTGGTATCTAGTCCCTTTAGCAATTAACACTTCCAAGGAGGCCTGAAAGTTAGAACAGGGAGGAGCATCCCAGAGGCTGGGCGGAGGAGTTTGAGTTGCTGTCAGGGTAACTGAGGATGGGCCAGAGTGCCTGCTGCTTCAGGATGAGGGCTGGGTAAATACCACAGGACCACTGGCTACCCAAGTGCTCTTCTCTTTGCCCTGTCCACTCCTCATCCAGTGAGCTCTGCTCTTCCTCTCAGACTCCTCCTTTCTGGCACATGTCTCTGCTCCAGACTCTCCCACCCTGGATACATTACCCCAACTGTCCTGCTTGCCCAAGGTATAATTCTCCCACCACCATAGGTAAGCATAGTCTTATTCATTCATTCACTCATTCACTTGTGGCCTTCTTTTTACAAATAAGCTACATAAAACTTGAATGACACAAAGAGAAAAAAGAAATTTATTTTTTTTAAAGATTATATTTATTTATTCATGAGAGACACAGAGAGTGAGAGAGAGGCAGAGACACAGAGGCAGAGGGAGAAGCAGGGTCCACGCAGGAGTGCGACATGGGACTCAATCCGGAGATTCCAGGATCAGGCCTTGGGCTGAAGGCAGGCACTAAACCACTGAGCCACCCAGGCGTCCTGAAAAAAGAAATTTAAATCACCCATAGGCAACTGCTATCAATATTTGGATTTACAGTCCTAGGTTTTGTTAGAAATATATATTACAATGATATATATGATATATAATATCATAAAAACAGGATACAAAAAAACAGGATACACTGTACATAAACTTCAGTTTGTAAAAACTTTAATATGCTGCACATTTTGCCACATTTAAATATCTATATATAACAATATCATTAATGGCCACTTGAGATTCTATACCATGTGTCAGAAATACTCAATTAAAGGCCTACTATACATTGTTTCTTCAATATTTAGTGAACACCTGTGGTGTGGCACGACTTTGCTTGGAAATTTAGGCTGACTCCAAGATCCTACTATTATCATACTAATATTATTATAATATATCTCTATCCTGGGTCTCCAGGATCACACTCCACTCTGTAGGCAGCAATAAACCACTGAGCCACCGAAGCTGCCCTGGATTTCTAGATTAAAGAGGACACTTAAAGGTCACATTCCCCTCCAGTTAGGTTTTACCAATTTACATTCACACCCACTTCCTGTGTTTAACTGCTCGATAGATAATGTCCATTACTTACTTTCTCTACTTCCTTCTTTCATTCTTAAACTCTGCAGGCTGACTTTTGTTTCCCCTACTCCACTGCAATTGTTCTCACTAAGGTCATCAGATATCATCAAGAGTGCCAATTTCAGTGATTGATCTATTTTCTGGCCTTAACTTCATTGACCTGTTTGGGCCATTTAATACCTCCATCCACTCTTCTCTTCCTGAAATATTTACCTTCCTTGGTCAGGTAAAGCAGATCCAGTCTTACTAGCTTCATTTTACACTTAGGAAACCAAGGCCGGAAGGAGGTACCCAGTCTACTAAAGAGGAGGTAGCACCGTGCTGAGCCTCTTGACTCCCACTGCCTTGAACTTCTTTTTGAGTGTTATTATTATTATTAGGAATCCTTGGTGATGTTTGCAAAGTCTTTAGTGTTAAGAGGGCCTCACAAAGAGAATTTTTTCTGGTTCTACTTTTTAAAAGAGATTTCTTCTTTTTTTTTTTTTTAATTTAATTTTATTTATTCATGATAGAGAGAGAGGCAGAGACACAGGCAGAGGGAGAAGCAGGCTCCATGCAGAGAGCCTGACGCGGGACTCGATTCCGGGACTCCAGGACCAGGCCCTGGGCTGAAGGCGGCGCTAAACCACTGAGCCACCGGGGCTGCCCTTTTAAGAGATTTCTATTGCATTTCATAGCCGCCGGTCCCCATTGTTGCTAATCTAATCAGTCTTCACTCCCTTGCCCGGAGCAGGGTCCTAAGGAGGACTCGGTTGTGCTGTGGTGCAGATGGGCCCCTAACTGGCCGGTTTCCATCGCTGAGTTCAGGGCTGGAAAAAAAGCAGCCCGGAGGACCTGGTGGGAGGATACCTGCCAAGAAGCCCTCAACCAGGCAGCAACCTGCGGGTTCCTGGGCAAATGTGTTGTGGGCTTTCCTGGGTGACCTGGGCAGTTACTTGTCGGAGCAGTAGCACCCTCACGTGATGTAGAGCAGTTGCTTCTTCCTAGAGTTTTTTTGAGGATTTAATAAGTTCAATATATACATGTCTCTGGGCTCTGCCTGACACGCGATAGGCAATAGCTGGTAGTTATTTAGGCCTTTAGTTTCGATCTAACAAGCAGTTTTCTCCATTTGACTTCATTTGGGCCTTCCAATTATCCAACCAAACTCTACCTCCGCATATGGATATTTTAAGTCAGCATTCTATAGAGGCGGAGACTGAGAATCAGAGGGCGAGCCCTTGGACTAGAGGTGGCTGCAGCTGGGGCCGGCTCTCTAGAGAGCACCCAACTTCTCAGCGGGCTCTGCAACCCCCCAGACCCCACAACTCGTCAGCCCGCCGCGGTCCTAGCCTCGCGTCCTGGCAGTCTCTCCTCCTCGTCTCTGCGTCTGGTCGCTCATCGCCATCTTTGAGCCTGGCACGGGGCCGCACTTCCGCACTACGCTCCCCAAACCAGGGGTAGCCGCGCATGCCCAAGCATGCCCCTACTGGGATGAAGTATCCAAAACTGGCCATGCTTGTCTCATCCTGGCCAAGAATAATAATTTATCTCGTTCTCCAAAGTCTTGGAGGAGGTGATCTGACCAATTCAAAAATGGTGCGGAGAGCTTCACCTCCCCTTTCTTCCGCTCCGGAGGCGCAGGGACGAAGGTCACGTCGCAATGCGCAGGCGCGGTAGGGCGGAGCTATCTCCATGGCAACCCGCGGTCAGCCCAGGCAGCTTTACCCCGCGGGAAGCGCGGGAGCCGAGGCGCTGGCTACAGGCGGGGCTGCGAGCGCCGAGGGGCCCGGGCGGTCAGGGCCGCTGCAGGACGAGACCCTGGGCGTGGCGTCTGTGCCCTCGCAGTGGAGGGGCGTCCAGGGCATCCGCCGGGAGACGGTGAGGGCCCGGACCCGGCTCGGGGCGTCGCGGGCGGGAGGGCGAGGGTCCGCTCGCGGTCTCCGGGCGGCCAAGTGCTGGCGAGCCACCAGGTTATTTCTGTACTTTCACCCACAGAGGCTAACCCTTGCGGTATCCTCGTGCCAGTTGCCCCAGACTCTGAACAATCACAAAAGCAGTTTTTCTTCAAGACTTCTGAAGACCTCATGTTTCGAAGGATTTAGTGTGAACAGCAATGTTTAGGCATTTCCAACTGACTTTACTTAAGAAAAAGACCAGATTGCATTTCGAGGTCGAGATAATCCGGTTTTCTAGCAGCTTAATCAAAAGCACGCATGCCGGGGTGTTTTGAGGAGGTGAGGGGCAGAGCTCCTGGGCACAGGTCTTCTCCGGAGGGGTCTTCGTGCCGACTTTTTTTTTTAAGATTTTATTTATTCATGAGACACACGCAGAGGGAGAAGCAGGCTCCATGCAGGGAGCCCACCGTGGGACTCGATCCGGGCTCTCCAGGATCACACCCTGGGCTGAAGGCGCCGCTAAACCTCTGAGCCACCCAGGGATCCCCATTTTTTTTAGACTTTTTTTTTTTTTAAAGATTTTATTTATTTATTCACGAGAGACACAGAGAGAGAAAGAGAGAAGCAGAGACAGGCAGAGGGAGAAGCAGTTTGTGCAGACTTTGAGGGCCTCCTGTGTGCCAAGGGCTTTTTTGGCACTGGGACCCCCTTCCTGGAGCTGACATGGGGCCATTTGCAGGGTACAGCCAATAGGCAACTTATGTAATAAGTAAATTATGCTGTGTGCTCCCTAGGAGGTGAATAGTGCCATGGACAAAAGCAAAAGAAGGGTGAGGGATTGAAAGGCTGAATTGGAGAGTGAAGGGGTGGGTGAGCCTCACTGAGAAGGTGACATTTAAGGAGTGAGTTAGTCAACAAGATACCTAAGGTAGAGCGGCCAGGCAGGGCAAACTGCAAGTGCAAAGGCCCTGGGGTTGGAGCCGATCTTGCGTGTTTGAGAGGGCAGAGGGACTGGAGAAGAATGAAGAAAGGGGAAGTGGTCCCCACTGAGGTCAGAGAAGATAAACAGAGGCAGGTCAAGTAGGGCCTTGCAGATCATTGTAAGGATGTTGACTTTTCCTCAGTGAAAATGGGTGCATTGTAGGGTACGGCATATTTACCAGTAGAGAACTCTTAGCTTGCCACCTGAGTGGCCAAGGAGAGCTGAGATACTCACCAACACTTGTTAACTGTCCATGAAATCTTACTTGAAGACAGATTTCTTGCCTTGGGCCAACAGTCTGCATGCAGGATTTGATCTGGCTTCAGAGTATTCCCTACTTAACTGTGCTGCCTAGAAACGGTTCTAGTGCAAAGCCAAATGGGTATTTTAATAAAATCTGTCCATCCTTATCACAGGTAGATGTATACTTCACATTTACTGGCTTTTAAGAATACTTGAAATAGGGCAGCCCGGGTGGCTCAGCGGTTTAGTGCCGCCTTCGGCCCAGGGCCTGATCCTGGGGGCCTTGGATCGGGTCGCAAGTCGGGCTCTCTGCCTTTGTCTCTGCCTCTCTCGCTCTCTCGCTGTGTCTTTCATGAATAAGTGAATAAAATCTTAAAAAAAAAAAAAAAAAAAAAAGGATACTTGAAGTAGCTCGTTTGCTGAAGACCCAGATTCTAGAATACTTTAGGTTGGAAACCCTGATTCAGGCTAACTTTTTTTCTTAGAATGAAATGCAGGCAGGTTCATTTTCTTGTGACTATAGTTTTAGCCTGTAGAGTTCTAAGAAGGAATTCGAACTCTTGAGTTGTAAGAGCTTTTATCTGTGAGGGTTGTTTCCTTGGACTGGCATCTCCGGTCCTATTAGAGATTTTTGATTAAGTTGTAAGAATGTTGCAAGGGTTGGGAGAAGAAGGTAAATTACTTTTTTTCCAAATTAACTTTTATCTCTTTATAGAAGTTAATGTGTTCAAAATTTAGAAAAAAACCGGATATGCAGAATAAAGAAAAATCATCCCATTCCCCATTCAGTTTATACTTGTTCCAACTGTGTTGTCTGTTTTGCCCCATTAAAAAAACAAACAAACCTTCCATGTTAAAATTTTTTTTTGGTGGGGGAATGCCTGGATGGCTCAGTGGTTGAGCATCTGCCTTTGGCCCAGGGCATGATCCTGAGGTCCCGGGATCGAGTCCCACATCGGGCTCCCTGCATGGAGGAGCCTGCTTCTCTCTCAGCCTGTGTCTCTGCCCCCCCCCCCCGTCTTTCATGAATAAATAAAATATTTTAAAAATAATTTCATTTTATTTAGTCTCTTGATGGGTTGTTAGGCAATTTCAAATTTTTCTTTGTTTTTTTAAGATCATACTTATTTACTTTTTAAAAAGATTTTATTTATTTATTAATGAGAGACACAGAGAGAGGCAGAGACATAGGGAGAGGGAGAAAGGCACCCCAGAGAAAGGCACCTCAGGTACCCCAGAGAAAGCCCAGTGTCTGGGATCAGGATTCTGATCCTAGGAATCCCTGGGACCTGGGATCATGCCCGGAGCCAAAGGGAGACTAAACCACTGAGCCACCCAGGTGTCCCTCATACTTATTTATTTGAGAGAGCACGAACAGGGGAGAGGGGCAGAGAGAGAGAAGGAGCAGTAGACTCCCCACTGAGCAGGGAGCCAGATGAAGGGCTTGGTCTCACGACCCCTGGACCATGACCTGAGCCGAAGGCAGACAACTAACCGAGCCAGGCGACCCTCGAATTTTCCTTTTATCAATAAACCCCATGATGAATGTTTTAGCTAATTTTTATTGAAAACAACTCTGTAAGCTAATTTTAAAATACAGTTCCTTAATTTTCTTTTTTTTTTTAATTTTTTTTTTTAATTTATTTATGATAGTCACACACAGAGAGAGAGAGGCAGAGACATAGGCAGAGGGAGAAGCAGGCCCCATGCACCGGGAGCCTGACGTGGGATTCGATCCTGGGTCTCCAGGATCACGCCCTGGGCCAAAGGCAGGCGCCAAACCACTGTGCCACCCAGGGATCCCAGTTCCTTAATTTTCTTAAAAGTCTTTTTGGAAAAGTTGACCATTGGTCTCTGTGTGGCCCATGTAGTGGTGCAATATTCGAATGTGCTTCCATGTTTCAGTGATGGGTTTTTTCTATTTTAATTTTTTTTTGAAATATTTTAATTATTTAGTCTACAGAGAGAGGGTGAAGGGGAGAGGGAGAAGGAGAGAGAATCTCTAGCAGACTCCTCACTGATCATGGGGTTGTCCTCATGACCCCGAGATCAATGACCTGAGTGGAAACCAAGAATCAGACACACCTAACCAACTGAGCCATCCAGGCACTCCTTCTTTTAAAAATTTTTTAAAAAGATTTTATTTTTTAAGTAATCTCTACACCTGATGTGGGGCTCGAACTTACAAGCCAGTTACCCCTTTTCTTTCTTTCTTTTTCTTTCTTTCTTTCTTTCTTTCTTTCTTTCTTTCTTTCTTTCTTTCTTTCTTTCTTTCTTTCTTTCAAATTTTCCCCTTTTCTTTTTAAATATTAATCATCTTTGGCCTGACTTGACTTTTCTTGTCATATTCTAATCTGTTCACAGAGGGATAGTGTCCTGGACTTGGTTTGAGCCTGGAATGCACACAGTCTTTAGGGCTTTGGGCCAGTCAGGTGATCTCTTCTTCTGTAAAGTGGGTCCTTGTGAGAGTACTTGATGAGGGGTTAAATGAGATCATGGGTGAGAAAGCAGTTTGAAAGCCTGGGGTTGCTCAGGTGGATGGTATAGGAGTGTCAGGCACCAGTCCAGCTGCCTGAGATGTAGGGTATGTAATTATCTCCTTGTTCATCCCACTGTTTCTCAAACTTGGCTGACACTGGAATGTCCTGGAGACTCTTGAAAAATATGGATGTTTGGGTCCTACCTTCAGTGATTCTGGCTTAATTGGTATATGGTGTAACTTAGGAATCTGATTTTATTAAAAGATTCTCAGGTCATTTTAATGGGTAGCAAAATTTGAGACCGCCAATTAAATGCATCTTTCTTTCCAAGAGCATTACTTTTCTGAAGCCTGATTCTGATCCTAGGAAAATGTGGGTGTGTTTTTTTACTAAAAAAAATTGTGGTGAGGTGCTTGGCTGGCTCAGCTGGTAAAGCACATGACTCTTGATCTCAGGGTTGTGAGTTCGAGCTCCATGCTGGGCATAGAGATTACTTAAAAATAAGTAAAATTGTGATAAGGTTCATATAATAGAAATTTTACTATTTTATTTTTTTTAAATATTTTACTTATTTATTCATGAGAGAGAGAGAGAGAGGCAGAGACACAGGCAGAGGGAGAAGCAGGCTCCATTCAGGGAGCCTGATGTGGGACTTGATCCCTGGTCTCCAGGATCATGCCCTGGGCTGAAGTTGGCACTAAACCGCTGAGCCACCTGGGCTGCCCGAAATTTTACTGTCATCTATCTATCTATCTATTTAATTAATTCATCCATTAATGAAAGATAGACACAGGCAGAGGGAGAAGCAGGCACCATGCAGGGAGCCTGACATGGGACTCGATCTTGGGTCTCCAGGATCATGCTCTGGGCCAAAGGCAGGCGCTAAACCACTGAGCCACCCAGGCTGCCCAAATTTTACTATTTAAAAAAAAAGATTTTATTTATTGGGGAGAGAGAGCGTGTGCATGCATGCACTTGCACGCTTGAGAGCAGAGTCTGAGCAGGAGGAGGGGCAGAGGGAGAAGGAAGTTCCCCACTGAGCAGGGAGCCCAATGCAGGGCTGGATCCCAGGACCCTGGGATCACACCCTGAGCCAAAGGCAGACGCTTAACTCACTGAGCCACTCAGGTGCCCCAGAAATTTTACTGTTTTTACGTATACAATTGTCAAGTACATTCAATGTTCAATGATCACCACCTATCTAGTTCCAGAACTTTTCCATCCATGGAATGCATTTTGGACATTTAGATCTTGTCTTCCGTGGACTGTGAGCTCCCA